AAATACCCCTGTACCGTACCGCCCGCTCCGGCATCTGCCTCCTTGCCATATATGCACAATAGCAAAATATGAGCCACACATACTCTAACACATTATTTCAAAGCATGTGGTATGTAAGAAGACATCCTACTGAACTACTGAGGCATTTTTTTTGCTGGTTTAGATTGAGTAGAAATAACTCACTACCTCTTCAATTCGTTTCAGGATGCCAAGACTCCATCGGTGGAAGCTCCGTTTGCTCCACTATTTCTTTCAAGTTAGCCGTTAGTGATGATGAGGAAGGGTTTGGGAATGAGGATGAGCAGGTATACTATAGGGCCTTAGAGCATATAGGTGTTCAAATGCCTGAGTGTGAGACTAAGAAGGAGGTTCCAGGGGTGACATGGGATCAGGAGAAGAGGGATGCTATTACAATGAAAGTGGCAAGCCTGCTTGATAGTATACAGCGTGCAGAACCACCTGCCATTGGTGGGGTAGTGGTGACCAGTTCAATGGTAGTCTCGTCTGGGGCTGCTCTGGCGAAGGTGCCAGTTGTGGAGGCTAGTTCGATTGAAATGGATATCCCTGATGTGAAGTCGGCTGCAACATATGTGCGGGTGACACTGCATGCCAAGGAGTTGGAATAGGTGAAGTGGATTCATGTGAGAATCCGTCAGCTGCAACACATGTCCGGGTGACACTGCATGCCAAGGAGTTGGAAATAGGTCAAGTGGATTCAAGTGAGAATCCGTCAGCTGTATCTGAACTTGTTGCTGGATATGAATTAAAATCTCCTGGGGTTGGGAGTCTGATATCCCCCATATCAGAGATGACTGACTTGAATGAGCTTACTCTGTCACCTCATTGTGGTTTGATCATAAAACAAATTTCAAGCAAGTATGGAGATATCACTAAGGGGAGCATACTGAAGAGTATGGCTGCTAAATTTCCATTTTTGCAGTTAGTAGCACATACAGTGCATCAATTGTCCAACCATACCCAAGACACCTTAGGTTCCAATGAACTGGAACTCATACAGACATGGACAGCTGATGCAGCAGCTGTTGGATTTCAGGTGGACTGGTTACAACAAAGGGTTAACCAAGTTACTGCAGCTACCAAATACCATGGTCATCGTATGGAGTTGGATGAGTTAGGGAAACAGATAGATGCTACAATAAAATGTCTGATGGAGATGGAGTTGCGAGAAATTGTTTGTAAGGAGGAGTTAGCTTCCATAAAGGCTGAAATGGAAGGGAACGATTTCAGTGGATCAATTCTCAGTACAGGGCTATTATGATGGTGGAATAGGAGGGAGGATGGGACAGTTGATTGTATGTAATCTGCCTTTTTCTCCCCAGCTCCTCTTTGTGTGTGTATTTGACTATTTGTGTATATTTATAACTCTCTAGACCGGAAAGGTGTATGAACTATACTGCTGTGGGTGTGTTGTGCTTTTTTAGTGTTACTGTTCTTTTTCTTCCTCTTCTTCCTAGACTTGTTTGCCAGCTGTATTGATGCAGTTATTATATTCTTGAGTTAATTATAATTTGTCCCCTCCAACTATAGCCAATGTAGCAATCAACTCCCAGTAGTTTCACCATTAAAGATTTAAATGAGGGTAAAAGATGACCATTATCTTACCATTAAATTAAGGTATGAATTTGAGTCGTTTTTGATTTGAGTTAAAAAAAAATGATTCTCCCTTAATTTAATATGAGTATGAGTCTATCACAGGAGAAAATTTTTAAGAATTTTGTAAATTTGAGTTCAAAACTGAGTAGAGATTTAAGACGTTCTAACATTTGTTATATTAGGGGTAACAATCTGAATGGTTTTGAGAGATGTTGGTTGACTGTTGGACGAGACTATTTCAAAACGTTGAATGAAATTATTGAAGTTTTATTTATTTTATATTATAGAGTTTTTTAACCAAAATAAAAGAAGAATAAACAGAAATATGTGAACCAAAATCGAGAGAAAAAAATAATTGAAAGACCACAACAGTGATACTAGGCCTTGGCCCGGCCTGGCCCAACTCTGAATTTTTTAGCCCATAGCTCATTCGTGGGTTGGGCCTTTGGACTTTGACTAGTCAACGGGCCATACCGAGCCCACCAATAGAAATTTTTAAGGCCCATGGTCCCATGGGGCTGGCCTATTAGGCCAAAAACAGGCTAAATATGGGTCGGGCCTTATGGACCATTTATTGGGCCTAAAACGAGTTTTTTATTAAAAAAAAAAATTATGTAAAAAATATAAAAAGACATTGAAAAATTTATTTTTTATATAAAAATTACAAAAGACATCAATTACATGAAGTTGATATAAAAAAATAAATTACAAAAAAATATACATATTGATTGAGTTTTACAAATATTCATATAAAGTTATAATAAGTTATAATGTTATATTATAAATTGATTAATGGGCGAGACTATTTTGCATTACTAAAAATTAAGTTATATCCTAATTAGATTGACACTTACACAATTATCAATTATTTGTAAGTATCGATTTTATAAAAATTATAGATCAAATATTAAATAAACAATACAATTATAAAATATAATCTAAATATTTTATTGGACTAACGGGCTTCTTAACGGATCAACTTGCCGAACCCCCGCTAAAAAATACACGTCCTAAGCCCTACTCGAGCCCTGTCACGTGTTGGGGCGGGGCAGCCTGTTGGACTTCCGGGTCATGAATGGCCTATTGAATTTTGGGCTTTTTGGTGAGGTCTAGATGATAGTGTCAAATTACTATATTCAACATTTTTTTTTGGTCAATGCACAAAAACAACAACAACGAAAAAAAAAAACACCCAAATTTATTCATTATCAGAAGTTTAAGTCTCAGCGTTCCTCTCTTGATGCGTTGTGACTTGTGAGTTTTAAATCAGCAATTTCTTTAGTTCGGTATTATTAAAAAATTTAAATTCGCGACGATTATTGAATCCACGAGTCCAACCGCGGATACTGGACATTAAGCCAACCGCTAATCGAGTGCTCCCAAATTTGGGGAGGTCTCCCAATTTTGGCGGTTCCTCTCTCTCTCTTCGTTGCTTTCCATTCCATTTTCCACGAAAATTGTGTGTGGTATATATGTACATATGCACACAGATATATATGTATGTAGAGAAATATTTGAATTGTTTTTGGAGCCGATGATTCTGAGCTTTGCGACGTGATCAGAGATGGCGGAGGGAACTTACGTGAAGCTGACCAAGGAAGAAGAGGCATTACAGAACGTCACGCCTGGAGAGCTCAACCAGGCCATTGATGTTGAACGAGTTTGTTCTTTTTTCCTTGGTTTCATTTCACTTTCTGTTTGCCTACTTGGTTTCCATTCATGAGTTTTTCAATTCCAGTGCCTTTCTTGAGTTTGGTATTCGGATTCATGGTTCTCTCAAACCTGATATATTGTGGGTTATATTTAGGATTGTTTCTGAAAATCTTTATAGGGAGCAGTGTCTTATCCTTGTTGTAATTCGTCTCGTGTATATCACGAAAAAAAATTATTTAATATATTACAAGTGTGAAATATTAATTAAACGAAACTTATTAGACATATGTATCAATCGTGCTGTGTTTGCGTTGATGGGTGGGATTGACACCCTGTATATAGGTATATGAGCTTGCCTTTTTAATAATTAATTTTGATTCAAACTTTTTATCTGTAATGAATCATAATATTTGTAAGAAACAACTGGGTTTTAAAGGTTATTATAATTGGAATATGTGCCTTAATATAGGAATTGGCCACATGCATGGAAGAAAATCCAACATGTTTTTTTTTTTTTTATTCAATGGTCTGGGGTTTTCAAACCAACTTACGCATACCTTGATTAATCTCCTCCCCTCACCGATCTGGTCAAAAACAGCATGTCTCTTTCAGATAGCTTACTTGTTACACCTCATTTAACGCCTTTTGGTACTGCTTCAGCACTTTTATTTTTTGCCCTTAATCTGCCTCTTCACGCTCTTGCATTGAACAATGATGCCAGAACAATGAATTCCTTGGGCTGGATGAACAACCTTCTTTGAAAAGAAATAGTTAAAGTCATGTCACTTGGAATTGGTTACTTAATTTTAGTAAGGCCACTTTTTTGGTAAGCAAAATTTGATTATATAGGCATGATTATTTATAAGATAAAAAACAAGCTTCTATATGTTCTTTGCCTAGACATATAGAAGAAACAACCTTATTATCTACTTCTAATAGCCTCATATGACATGTGGGACTTGGACCACATTGGTACACTTTTCCCCAATTTTGGATTACTTCAGTTAAGTGGGATCCATCATATATAAGTAGATCTCCCACCAATATCGGGTGGGTGATTTATAACCGAATCTCAACTTTGTGTTAGTAAAATATTTTTCAGAGCATTTTCAAGGGAATAACTAAAATTCTAAAATATTAAAAATTTAGTTATTCAAAAGCAAAAAACCTACTCCAACAGAAAATGTTCAGAGTGGGTAAAATATATTTTTGCTATAGTGATGTTCTATATTTAGAGTATCACTGTAGCATTAAGTATAAATAGTTTATAATATATTCTCTCTCCTCTTGTCATTTCTCACCTCTCTTGTCCATTCTTTGTTTTTCCCTCAATTTTTTTTTCTCTCTCTCCCTTTAATAGTCCCAACAAAGGTACACGATATGAGAAATAATATTTAAAAGAAGTAGTTAATATATAGAAAATCTCTTGGAATGTGTAAGTTAAAATAGAAAGAGTGCACTTTTGAATTACTAAAATACAAAATCTTGTTGGAGATGCTCTCAGAATTTAATATTGTTTGTATTTTGAGAAGCAGAGTGTTATTTCCACCTTTTGATGTTTTCAAGATGTTTTTTGCCTCTTTTTCCAGTAATAATTGTAATCCACTTGGAAATGAAGTTGAAACAACCTGAAATTTGGTACATGTACTTAAGTTGTTGGGGAGAAACCAAAATGGTGGTCCTTATTTCTCTTATTGTATTATAGAGTCATATTCGAAACTTATTATTTTGATCTTTTCCCCTTTCTTGCATACAGAGAAAAGCTGTAGTATTATGTGCTCATGCCTTCATAATTGTTAAAGTAGAATGCCTAAATTTCCTCCTTTATGTGGAGTGTGAACATGATGATATTGATTTGTTCCATTTTATTGCTGATGGTGTCATTGAACAGCTGACTGCTAGTAGATGCATGGAATGTGGGCAAACTTTACCTCCAAACTACCAGCCCCCTGCTGATGAAGATTGGACAACTGGGATTTTTGGTTGTGCTGAAGATACTGACAGTTGTAAGGGCTTTCTTTTATTCTGCTTATCTTTAGCAAGTTAGCAATCCAATTTTCGCATTTTATGCCTAAACCCCTAAAATTAACGAGTAAAAAAATTGAAATTTCCCCTTTTTTTCTTGATCTTTGTTTCCATTATAAGTTATTGTTTGAGCTTGATGTTCTTCATGCAGGCTTGACTGGACTGTTTTGCCCATGTGTATTGTTTGGACGAAATGTTGAAAGCTTGCAAGAAGATATCTCTAGGACCAGTGCAGGCATTTGTCATGTGGTATGTGTTGAAGGTGGCATGACTCTTGCTGCACTCACATCAATTTTCTATGGCGTTGATCCAAATACTGCAAGTAACATATGCCAGGGTCTATGCTTTGCTTGGTGGATATGTGGTATCTACACAGGCATGACTCGGCAATCATTGCAGAAAAAATATCATCTCAAGGTGATCTCTATTTCCTGGCAAATTGCTTGAAATTGTGCTCTTGAATATGTGCTTGGAATGCCACTGCTAATTTACTTCCAAATTTATATTATTGATGGCGAAAAATGGAAGATTATTCTTGGAAAACCTGGGTAATACTGAATCTGGAAGTGTTCTTCACAGAAGAAGTATGTTTAGAAAGTGGATGTATAATTTAATGAGATCTACTTTCTAATTTTCTCTTGTTGCTGCCATTTTTTTTTATAACTGTAGGTTCTTCTAAATTCGAGTTGAATGAGGCCCAAAACTACATCATTTTTCAGATGCTATAAGGGCAAGAAAGCAATCTTCAGAATTACTCCCTTTGTGTTTTTGTTGTCTACATTTGGACTAGTGTGAGTTGGTGTATTTCTTTGAATGAATTATGTTTTTTTGGGACAGATCTTTTGGTTTGTGTGTCATGCCATTCTTTCGACCATAAAGTTTTCATATGATCCAAGACTACTTCATGAAAACGTTATGGATGTTCTCCCTGCAAATTGGTTTGACAACCCAATGAATTTGCTGCATCTTTGCTTCAGATGCAGATTTTATTTTATTTTTGTGCTGGTTAGCTGTTTTATGAATTGCATATGTCTTTCTGTTCTGCAGGATTCACCCTGCGACCCGTGTATGGTGCATTGCTTGTTGCATTGGTGTGCCCTATGTCAAGAGCACAGAGAGATGAAGAATCATCTATCTGATAATGCTGTCTTGCCAACAACCATTGTTAACCCTCCTGCAGTTCAGGAGATGAGGGCCGGTATGAATCAAGAGAATCAATCTTCATCTGGAGAAGGTACCGGAAGCAGTAACTTGGAGATTCAGCCTTTGTAGGATCATCCCTCTGTTTTCTGCCGAGGCAAATAGTGAACTTTTAGTTGTCTACTGTATTAGAGGAAAAATCTGCACTTGTCAGGCTCAATTTTGAAATAATAGGCCCAATTTTCATCAGTCAAGCTCGTTTAAAATGCAAAATGAACCGAGTTTGATTAGATTTTTTAGCCAGTTTGTATAAACGAGTATCCAAACAATATGTTGCTCGGTTCAAGTAGGGTGATATTTGTGAATGGTTTTGACTTTATTACCCAAAAAAAAAAAAAAACTCATCTAAAGAATAAATAGCCAAAAAGTTATCACACCCAATTCTCTCTTACTCTCTTCTCTAATGAATTTTATAAAATTTAAACTTATATGATTTGATTTATGATTATTTTTTAGAATTAATGGCTAACTTCTAGTGCTTAATTTTTAGAATTTTTATAAAAAAATTGAGTTTGATTTCGGTTGGAGTTTAATTTGAGCAAAAGTTTACGATTCAGACTTAAGTATAAACTAAACTCGACAATTAAGCTCGTTGACTGAACTAAATTTTAATTCACTTAAATGTGATAAACTATACTTGATTAACATTCACTTTTAAGAGGACTTCTCATTAATTATAACGTACAATTCACAGTGTGATTTTGCATGATATATTTTTTTTATTAATTTTTTTACAATTGAGTCAATTATAACTATTGGTATATCAATTGTTCAACTCGTGTATTTGAAAATTATAAACTTGTTCTATCTATTTAAAATATAGATTTTTTTCACATAGATGGTATACTATGAGTTTATAACGTCCAGAGGGGTCTTATTTTTTGTGTCAGGTAGTTGGAGAAGTGAATAACTTGTGTACATTGTGAGTGTTTGAATTAAAATGTTTTTTAATTTTTTCCTGACCCAAAAAAAAAAAAAAAGAGTTAAAAATGTTTTTTAACCCGATTGTACCCACCAACCCAAAAGGAACCCGATTTTTCACCCGTTTCATTTGTTTTCATTGACTGATATCAAACCCCAAAACCTCTGCATCTCAACGATCCTTCCCAAACACATAGCAGGGCAGGGTTTTACCAAAAACCCTAACGGAACAATTCCAACACCATGGCTCGATCGGCTCGATCCTCTGCGACGCGTCTAATCTACACCCTCTACTCCTCCCACAAAACGACACCACCTTCATCCCCAACTCCACTAACCGCGGCCCTCCTCTCCGGGAGCTTCCACCTCCGCCACTTCTCCGCCGGCAGCGCCGCCCGAGTGAAAGATGAGAAAGAATCATGGTGGAAAGAGTCGATGGAAAAGCTCCGAAACATCGGAATTTCGGCGCATATCGATTCGGGAAAGACGACTTTAACGGAGAGAATATTGTATTATACTGGAAGGATTCATGAGATTCATGAGGTTAGAGGGAGGGATGGTGTGGGGGCGAAAATGGATTCAATGGATTTGGAGAGAGAAAAGGGGATTACTATACAGTCGGCTGCTACTTACTGTACTTGGAATGATTACCAGGTGAGCGTCGAATTGAGTTGGTTTGTTTTTTTATTATTAAGGAAATAAAAAAAGAAATTTTGCAAATGGAACTAGAAAGTCAATATAATTGAGTATTTCAAGTAATTGACTGATTTACTAAGTGGCTAGTGAGTTCAGGTTTGTGTTTCAATGTAATCAAAGCAGTGTAGAAGAATTTCAAGAGCATTAACAAAAGAATACTAACCTTTTTCCATCAATTCCGTTATCAGGTGACAATGTAGTTGGAGTGATTTTTACTATTTGTTATTATTATTGGGCTGGTTGGTGATAAGCAAGTGAATTTTCGAATCTTGCTTGGTCAAATTTTAAGTCGAAAAAAGTTGGGAACACTTTTTTTTTTTTTTTTGTATTTCTAAATTGCTTTCTTTTTCAGATTTTTGATTTTGACTTTGTTTGATAATTTCTTTTTTGTATTTCTAATTGGATTTCTTTTTTAATGTCTTGATTTTGGCTTTGTTTGGTTGATGGGAAAGTTTATGAAATGTTCAAAATTGAAAGTTTTGAACATTGAACTTGTCACTTGCCCACTTACTGGATCTGGAATAAATAGTAGGTGGCTAGGCTCCAATTGGATAGAGATACTCTGTCGGCCAGTCGGTTGTGTGGAGTTTGATTGGTGAAGAAAGTAAAATGGAAGAAACTAAAGTTTTAAGGTTTAAATTGTCACTATTTGGAACAAGAAAACTAGAACATTATTGATGGGAAGCAGCAGTAAATAAAAAGAAATTGAAAATTTTGGAAATTGAATTCGTCTATCTGTTAGCTGAAAGTATTGAGTTAGTGGCTTCTGGTTAGTGAGTAGTGAGTTGAGTTCTTTATCTCTTGGTAAACAAAACAAGATAGACGACTTATAGATAGAATGACAGATTAGATGAAATTTGAGCAGCCAATTCTTTTTGTAGCTGCATTTATTTTCCATTCGGTTGCAGTTGCTTTGTGAAAAAATCTTATGGCCCAGAGAAGTCATAGTTTTGTTTTTATGGATTTGCTCTTTATGACATCGCAGGTGAATATAATTGACACTCCGGGCCATGTTGATTTCACCATTGAAGTTGAGAGGGCTTTGCGTGTTCTTGATGGTGCCATTCTTGTTCTTTGTAGTGTTGGTGGTGTGCAAAGTCAATCAATTACTGTTGATAGGCAGATGAGAAGATATGAGGTTCCAAGACTTGCTTTCATTAACAAGCTTGATCGAATGGGGGCAGATCCATGGAAAGTTCTCAACCAGGTCAGTTCTATTATTATGAATGGTAGTAGTTTACTCTTGCATTATGAATTTTTTGTATTGCATCCTGTCTGCACGTTCCCCTTATCTCCGTGTGGTTATATATATATAGGCAAGATCCAAGCTTCGACATCACTGTGCTGCTGTACAAGTACCAATTGGGTTGGAGGACGACTTCCAGGGTCTTGTTGATCTTGTGCATTTAAAAGCTTACTACTTTCATGGTTCCAGTGGGTATGTTTCATAATCTAGGGGAGATGCTTAGAGTATCTAACTAAATTTTTACATATTATTTTTGTATTATGTTTTTCTTTTGTTGCTTTTTGCAGAGAAAAAGTTGTGACTGAAGAAATACCTGCCAATATGGAAAAAATGGCTGCTGAAAAGCGGCATGAACTTATTGAAGTGGTTTCCGAGGTTGACGATAAACTTGCTGAAGCATTTCTCAATGACGAGTCTATTTCATCCACAGACCTAGAGGTATGTTGAAGAAAACAACCGGACTTCGCAAAGTAGGCTGTATGGGCATGTATACTTCACTTAATATGAAATAGTGCTAGCTTGGAGGAATCCTCTGGCTGTCTCTTATGCAACTGTTTTACCTATCATACTAAAATTTTATTCATGAAGCAAAAATTGAAAGGGAATTTTGGGAATATTGTAAGCTACTTTTCGCTTGTATTGTGTTCTCTTTTTTTGAACATCATTTAAAATGGTTGAATGTAAAATTGATACTGGAGTTTCTATGGCAGAACAAAAGCATTGTTTATTTGATGTAATTAATATCAAGGGTGGAACACTGGTTCAGTGTTCAAAATTTGGCCTGATAATCCCAAGGTTGTGACTTCTGAATCATATAAGCAAATATGGACAAACTCGGGGGCAGATTTGGAACCCTCTCCCAGGGCCCCAAAATAAGAGGAAAAAGAAATTGGAATGTGTTCAGTGTGAGTTTACATGCTGGATGTCCTATATAATTAAATTTTGCTTTCCTTATTGTATTCTTCCGGTGTTTGTTTTAGTTGTTATGACTTTATTGTACATCTTTTTTGTCATTGGAGCATGACAGCTGATCAAACATTTGTAATTAACTACCAAAGGAAGTGGATCGATTGAACTTATAGGTAGCCATCAACTTCTTTCTCTCGACATTGAGGAGCTTGACCAGCGAGGTAGGGGAGATCTCCTATCCCAGTTCAGGCCGGATGAGGATATAGAAGTGGATGGCGGGATTGCCGTAATACTTAAATCATGCTAAAAGGGAGATATGTTCTAGAATAGGTATGAGTAGGAATTGGATGCTATGAAGGAGTCGACCAATACTTACCTTAGGTATTTGGCAAGGGAGGGGAAGAGCGCGGATTAGAAAGAATATTGGTTGTTCGACTCCCACTTGATCTGTCCTGTTGAGTGTTCTATCTATCCCCACCTTTTGGCTCATGGATTGGACACACCTCTTACTAAATTTTTTATTAGAATATCTGATGTTATTGCAACTGAAATTTTGTTGAATCTTTTCTCAGTTCAATTCTAGCTTTGTGACAGTACATGCTCATGCCTATATTTATGTTCTTGTTGTCTTCATTTTTTGTCCTTTTGAGCAGGAGGCGATTCGTAGAGCTACTATAGCAAGAAAATTTATACCTGTATTCATGGGTAGTGCATTTAAGAACAAGGTATTGAGATCCTTCTTTTGATGAAATGTATGTTTTTAGCAGTATCCCCACTCTGCAGTAAATGATTTAAATGTCTTCAATTTCTGTTTTGGTTGATTTGCAAAATTTCATTGATTTTGGCTAAGCTTCAATGCATATTGATACACAAATAGAGGTAGCAAATTGGTTACAGCATTTCTGACTGACTTTAAGCATCAAAACGACAAGCTCTTGACTTGGGAACAAAAGTGTTATTGAATAATTCGAATGTCATAGTAATTCATCATTTTGGTTTCGCTTGAGTCTTAGATTTTGCAGCGTTATTCACCTACAATTATTTTGAAGCACCTCATTCTCTGTAATTTTCTGCATGACATCAGAAGTTTTTTAAAAGAACAATGTATATAATGCATGAGGCACTTTAGTTCTTTCTTCTATTCTTATCTTGCATTGCTGAATTTTTTTTCCTTGTTGCCATGTGACTTGCTGCATATTGTATATAGAATGCTATTTTCCCCTTCATTTTGTGCTGTTTTTCTCTCTGCCTCCCCCCACTCAAAAAAAAAAAAACATACATACATTCTCTCATCTTCTCTCTCTTGACCCACAGGAGAGATGGTACCGAACATTCATGGTACTTATTTTTACAATGTGAGATTTATCTGTATCTTCTGTTATTCTGTGGTACACAGGGAGTGCAACCGCTTCTGAATGGTGTTCTTAGTTTTCTGCCTTGTCCAATCGAAGTTAGTAACTATGCTCTTGACCAAAACAAAAAGGAAGAGAAGGTATTTAGTTGAAGAGTTTTTGGTGACATCTTGTCTATTTTTGTCTTGTGTTTTGATCGAGGAACTAAATTTCTCATTGGAGTTTATTTCTATCAGGTTATGTTATCTGGAAGTCCAGCTGGACCATTGGTTGCATTGGCTTTTAAGTTAGAAGAGGGGCGTTTTGGTCAGTTGACGTATTTAAGGTATGACTAAGATGTGCTACAGTTATCTTTGGGTGCTAGTGTCATTTCTTTTCTGTCACTAGATCGCTAGTAAGTAATGGATCTTTGAACAATTATGCTAATGTCCATTTTTTGTTAAATGAAGAATCTATGAAGGTGTTATTCGAAAGGGAGATTTTATCATCAACATAAACACCGGCAAGAAGATTAAGGTGAGTTCAAGAATTTAAGTTCTGTTTGATTTGTTCGTTGCCAGTGTATTCTCAATTTCTCATGTTATTCATGTTTTCCCCCACATTGAGAACAGAATTAGCAAATGCATACTTAGGCAGGTTTCAACTGCTGAAAGCAGACCTGAAAGATCACTTTGCTGTACTTGTTTGTAAAATTTTTCAAAGTGTTTCTCTCTCTCAAGTTGGCCAAGTTTGATGTATGGGACAGTCTGGAGGTGCCTATTTTATGGTTTTTTTTGAGAATAATGATATTAACATTGTTGACATGCTTGCCTTATTGAAAGGAAAAGTGCTTCTTAATACATATGCGGATGTGAGCCTGTTTTGTGTGTCTAAATATGATCACTCAGTTTGGGAGTTTTGCTAATTTATGTTTCAACTTACATTTATTACAATTGTCTTTCAGGTTCCTCGTTTAGTTCGGATGCATTCAGATGAGATGGAGGTTTGTTTCTCTTTACTCTCCACCTCTGCGGAAAGTAGGATTTCTGGAATTGATGCATTTATTTGTGGTAATGGACAGTTGGTTTACTCTTAAAAAGCAATGGCAAAATCAATGAATCCTTCAAGAATCCAAAACTATCATTTTTTCTCCTTGAAATGTCTGGATTCAGTCTTAAAACTTGTGTTTTTTCTTCAAATCATCGTTGTCTTAATTTGAGGTGGTGTATTGTTGCTTCTTTTGCTTGGCGTTTTTAATTCTACAGGACATTCAAGAGGCGCATGCTGGGCAAATAGTAGCTGTATTTGGTATAGATTGTGCTTCAGGTATTCCTTACCAAGAGACACGAGATTATGTCATACTCTGTTCTTTGCTTTATTGGTATGGAGAACAATGCCAAAATGGACATTGGCAGAGTTCTTTGGAAAAGATTTAGAATTCTGTGTGCTAGCATAATGCGCTGTTTTTAAAATTTTGAAATATGAAAATCAAGAATTACTTATTTCTCACAAGTTTGTCTTGATCTTTACTTCTTTTGTTCTTTTTATTTTTGTTTTTTAAATGTTATTATTATTTTGTTCCATCAGGAGATACTTTTACTGACGGATCAGTCAGATACACAATGACTTCAATGAACGTGCCTGAGCCAGTGATGTCCTTAGCTGTTTCACCCGTTTCTAAAGATTCTGGAGGACAAGTAATTGAAGCATACGCTTTGTGTTTGGATTAGTTGAATAATGATAACTTGTATTGTTGTTTGGATTTACTTAAATGTCAATCATTGGCCTCCCTTTTGGACAGTTTTCAAAAGCTTTGAATCGATTTCAGCGAGAAGATCCTACTTTCCGTGTTGGTTTAGATGCTGAAAGTGGTCAGGTGTGATTTATAATGTCATTTTCCTCGTTTCTTGAAAGATTTTTTTGGTGCCTCACTTTGACATCAGAATTTTTTTTCATGGCCAGACAATTATTTCCGGAATGGGAGAGCTGCATTTGGACATATATGTTGAGCGTATTCGAAGGGAGTACAAGGTGCCCAGTCTTCCATTTTTTAGACACTGATATATAATTTGGTGTTCCTGGAAAGAACTCCAATTTTTTTTCTTCCATTTGCTTTTATGAAGGTTGATGCAACGGTGGGAAGGCCTCGTGTTAACTTCAGAGAAACTGTTACTCAACGCGCCGAATTTGACTATTTACATAAGAAGCAAACCGGAGGACAAGGTCAATATGGAAGGGTATGTGGGTAAGTATAGAATATACTCCTTTGTGGGAAAGTTCCATCAGTTGTGGCCTTTTTGGTTAATTAGGGGTGCTGGCCACCAAAACGGACCCAAAAAATAAAAAATGAAATGGAAAGAAGAAGGAGAGAAAAATGTAAGAAGAATAGAACATGAGTTCATTGTTTCTTTCTTTGTTCGTACTTCTTTTTAAAATTTTGACTATTTGTGTAAAGAGAGTTTGTATTCCACATCAAATAATTAGAACCACCCAAGGTTGGTTTATATACTTGAGGGGTCACTCAACCTATTCGTTTGAGAGGGATTCTCTAAAATCAGTAACATGGTATTAGAGCTAGGCATTGGGTGGCCATTGCACAAAGTTTCTTATCCATTTGAATTTTCCGGTATGTATGGTTGTTTGTTACCTCCACGTGCAAAGCTGGGTCCCATGTGAGGGACAATGTAAAGAGAGCTTGTATCCCACATCTAATAATTAAGACCACCCAAGGTTGTTTTATATACTTGAGGGGCAATTCCACCCATTGCCAATTAGTTTTGAGTTGGATGTTCTAACAATTTGTTTTGTGTATATTTTTCCTTGGTTTGTATGCATGCTTAGGGTGCAACATAGACACCTTTTTCTTTTCCAAGGTCGACTACTTGGCTTGTACTTTGGTCAAGTATAGCTCTGCACCTAGGTTCGTGCCTTAGAGAACCTGTGAACCCATAGATGTGCTTGCGTTGGGCTTTTTGCGATTATAGAATTATGTATTCTATACATGCCACTAATAATGCTATAAGATTTGTTTCCAGAAAAAAAATGTTTAAAAAAAAAGTCATATGGTTTGTTTATTATGACATAACTTGTGCACAGTTCTTGCTTTTACTGGCTTGACTAACATTATTTGAGCCTTTTTCCTGACAGTTATGTTGAGCCACTTCCTGTGGGATCGTCGACAAAGTTTGAATTTGAGAACATGATCGTTGGGCAAGCTATACCATCAGGTTTTATCCCAGCAATTGAGAAAGGTTTCAAAGAAGCTGCCAATTCGTGAGTGTTAATGTTTTTTTTGCCAATATTATGGACTTCCTGAAGTTTAGTTCCTCACATTATTTGTCATAATATCCTTACACATATAAAAAGGGCCAAGCCATCTCATCCTGACCGAGAACTTATGTGTATCGACCCTTGATGTTGTTAGCAGCACATCTTCGCTGAAAGGTCCTTCAGATCATCTTTTCTGCGAATAGTTTTTGATTCTTATCCCATTCTTTCAACCAAAGAGCTACATATTTTGGTTACAAGTAATCTCCTGCATCTATAGAAAATATTTCATTATTGAAATTTATCCTGATCATCCTTCAATTGCTAGTTCCACCTCCCATTATATTTTGTTTGAACTTTTTGGGTCCTCATGCTTGGTGTGTTACTTCTCTAAAAATATTATATCCAGCATCTGCCTAACGAGAATATAACTTTATTAAAGTCCTTGAACCAAATTTTGTAAGCCTGCTGTGACTGCTGCTGTTTGTTGTTGTTTTCATGGTTATTTACCACGTGGGCCTCTTTGTATTTGCAGGGGTTCATTAATCGGTTATCCAGTTGAAAATGTTCATATTGTTTTAACAGATGGTGCATCCCACGCTGTGGATTCTAGTGAACTTGCATTCAAGTTAGCTGCAATATATGCGTTTAGACAGGTCCTTCTCACATCCCACATATGAAGTGAATGCTATTTAACGTAGTTGCTCATAGATTTTCAGGCTTCCAGGTTATATTTCTTGTTAAACCAGATATTATGCTGGTTCCTTTTTTTTTTTTGTGTGTTGTTTTGTTTTTTTTTTTTGGGGGGGGGGAGTATTCTATTTTCCACTCATATGTTGAGTTTTTATTCCAATGAAATATTTTTCTCCACTTTATTAAACAGTGTTATGGACGGGCAAAACCTGTTATATTGGAACCTATAATGCTGGTGGAATTGAAGGTACCAACAGAATTTCAGGGCACTGTTACCGGTGATATCAACAAGTTAGTAATTCTATTTCTTCTTTCTCAACATTGATAATTTTTTGATTTTCTTACCAGCTTTTATGAGTTCGACATCTCTACTTATCTATTATATCTATCATATGATAGGAGAAAAGGTGTGATTATTGGGAATGACCAGGAAGGTGATGACTCTGTAGTAACTGCCCATGTACGTATAGCTTCCTTGTTTTCTTTCCAATGTGCAACTTGTTTGCACTCTTAACGAAAAAGGATGACAGAATATGTGATGGCTGCATTATCCATGATTCAAGTGTTTGGATCTTTCAATAATCTTCGTGGTCGGTATATCAAACAGTTGTATAACTTTGATTCATTTGCACAATATTTAGCTGAAGTTGGTCTCAATATTCCTATCATGTCATGAACCAAGTTCTCTCCTATCTATCTTATTCAATGTCCTTCTTACACATATAGATTATCCTTGTGATACTTTTGCATTAACTAGTTTCACATTTTGGCTTCATATTGTTCTAAAATCGATATGGTCATTTATTTAGCCAGCTTCTGTGGTTGATTAGAATTCTGATTTCGGCACCTGTTTACTCAAACTTTAATGGGACTGTTTTTATTTCTGATCTAATCACTCTTGAAGTTTTGTGAGACATGCTTGTTAGATTAGGAATCTTGTTTTTTCCTCCATAGCTTCTTGTGAAGAATCGGTATTTTGTTGTATATTGTGCCTGCGATTTGTGGAACCTACCATTAGCCAACATGAATGGAAATACTACCCGTATTTTACTCCCTCAATATTATACATCCATATTTGGTTAATCTCTGTGTTTTATCTAGAATATTACAACTGCAAGTGAGATCAGCCTAGTATGTTCAATTTCAATATTAGCAGTTTTATCGTATTGAAATTTGAATACTTCCTGCTAATGTATGTATCACAATTAGCTCCTGAGCAATTGATTTTATGGGCTTTTCAGGTCCCTCTCAACAATATGTTTGGATATTCAACCGCACTTCGTTCAATGACACAGGTGAAGCAAAAGATCCCTGTCTGAATACAGTGACTCATTGCTGAAATTGCATTCTTGATATTACTTAACGTGTCGTGGTCAATCCTTCTTTCTTGTGCAGGGGAAAGGTGAATTCACAATGGAATACAAAGAGCATTCACCAGTTTCTAATGATGTCCAGATGCAATTGATAAACACACACAATGCCAACAAGGGAACTGAATAGTAGAGGTGATTTTGAAGTATCCACCCATTTTTATTCTGTGAGAACGCCTCGTACCATTTTGTGTTTCCGTTCCCAATTTTTTTTTACGGTATGGTGATATTTATTGTAGCCAAAAAAGTGGGTGATTAATTTTGAGAAGCCTGAATAAAAGTTTATGATTGATGACGAAGAGATGTATGAAACGACAGTACCTTCGTTTAAAAGACCTGTACTATATCTGAGCTTTTGTTCATTAGGGTAAATTACAATAGCAGCTGTTCTGGTTTCTCAAGTTTTGATTGTATACTATACCCTGTTTTTGAAGTTATAAACTCTCACTAACTATTTAAAAGAGAATGTATACATTTTTTGACAACAGACCAGAGGAACTGTGGTACATGGTACCAACTCTCTCTCTCTCTCTCTCTCTCTCTCTCACTCTCTCACACACATGTATGTACAAGTATCTGATTTATAGCCATTGGGGCTTTGCTTGATAGAAGGAAAGCCTACCTGGAGAAATGTCTAAATATAAGTATATCCATTTTCCTTTAATACCCACTGTTTGGTTAAGGCTAATACGAAGAGTTCATTGTCATAATATGATTACAAAGATGGAAGACGTCCACTAATATGTTTTTTAGAGTAATATTAGTGGGACCTAATCTGAACAAATTTATTGAGAGTAGATTATGTGACAACTAATACGCTCTAAAAACATTATTTTCATTGTAACTATTGAATTTCGTAACTTATCGGGATAATATCTCGAATTATTTTAGGAAAAATTTTAGTCACACTTTTTCTACTTTACTAAATCTTCAATGACATTTCCTCTGTTATAAAAAATATTATTGACTTCTCTTCTAGTTTATATTTAAACATCACTGACACTCCCTTTAATTAAACAATCATTTTTACCAAAAATAAATTATTTAAAATACTAAAATTACCTCTATATAAACTCTAAATAATTTTTCTACATAAAATTCGAGTTGATTAATTTAATTTTTTTACGTATTAAAATTCAAGCCTAGTAAAAGTCTTTTGTTATTTATTAAAATTCGATTCAAGTTGATTAAAATTTGAGTCGATTAAAATTTATATTTTTATATGTATCAAATAAAATTTTAATGGGCTAAAATTTTAATAAGTAAAATAATTTTTAATTGACTCAAATTTTAATACATAAAAAATAAATTTTAATTAGCTCGAATCGAATTTTAATATAAAAAAAATTTAGAAAATAAAAAGAGTTTTATTAAAGATATGTCTATCTAAAAGGGGTGTAGATAAATTTTTTTAAAAAATTTATCATGAGTAATTTAGTAAAATAACATTTTAATTAACACATTTAATCTGATAGAGTGTCAGTAAAGATTCAAAAAATAAAGGGGATATCATTAAAGATATGATAAACTAAAAAGAGTATAATTAAAATTTTCCAATTATGTTATTGTCTTCTAGAATTCAAAAGTGACCTCTCTCTCTCTCTCACACACACACACACAAAGTCATGAGTGACCCAACAAAGGGCCTCATCTCATCACCATCGCTGAAACGATTGGTGATACGTCTCTTTCTAACAACTAACATTTTTGCCCTATGGAAGGAATGTGAATGCAATGCAGCATTGCTTTCTTTACCATTTACGGACAGCCTCCCACAATCTTACATTCAGCAATAATGATGTTGGTTGTTTGAGCTTCAAACATTAACTCCAATGGCATAAAAGTATATTCTTCTTTTGGGTCTTTGTGCGGAAGAATTTGCCGAATCTAACCTTAAAAGTCACTATGACAAAACAACAATCCTAATTAGGAACGTAATTTAATGCAATTATTAATTCAATTGTAAATTTTAAAGTTCAATGAAACTCAATTTTAATCTAATGACCGTATCCAATTAGAACCCTTAATAAGTTCTTAAATTAGATCTAAATAATATTTTTTATGACAAAAAAGTGATGGAAAAATCCATGGCAAGTGATTTGATACAAAAAAGTTATGACTGTTAAAATCACGTTACAATAAGGTCAAACTTATCAATATTTGAATTTCAAAAGTTTAAGACGCATCCTATGATATTTGAGATTGACCCTAAAAAATTGTGATCAATCCCAAATTGATCTCATTGAGTCATGACTTGGACTTGATTTGATCATACCTTTACAATTTTGATATGATACTTTTTGGTATCACCGAAAAATCCCAAAATATAGCTATAATAATAGCTCAAATTGTAACATGGACGAAGTATAAATCTAAATGTCCTAAGTTTGAATTTTAATAATTTATTAGGGTCAAATCATGAAAAATTTATCCCTCGTAAATATCTTAATCCCGACATGAATGACTTGTTTTTTATCGGACCGCGGAGGAGATTAGTTGAAGTACACATAAACTGGCCTGAATAATCTTTGACCATTAAACCAAAATTTAAAAAAAAATAAAAAAAATCCCAAAATGTAATGCAATAGACACCTTGGCAGCCAAGAATTATATGGTTGCAAAAAATGTAAGATGAAATAGGTGCATTCCTCATGGCAGCAAAAGCATACGAGACTTTGACAAAACCAACAAAATTTACCCAACCTGAGATACCGAAGAACTTAACAGAATTCATTGAAAATGAAGAAAAATAATTCCCAATCACATCCTAATGAAATGAAAGTATGAAACTAATGGGTGCTTATCTGAACAAATTTTGACACAACACATCCTATCCTAGAGGTTTATTATTGAGTTAATAGTACTTTTAGTTCTTAAAATATATATTTTTTTTATTGATTTAACTCTCATTGTATTCAATTCGTGTCATTTTAGTCCCTAGATAAATTGACCGTCAATTTTTTGACATAACAATCACGTATTTAGCACACTATACTATTTAAAAAAATAGCCCGCGGTCACTTCCGTTAAAAAAACTTGTCAGTCCATCTATATAGAGAACAAAGTAACACGAATTAAATATTTTAGAGACAAAAATTAACGACATTAATATAATGAGAACTAAATTGATAAAAAATACGTATTTTAAATACTAAAAGTGCTATTATTATTTTTCTTCTTGCTCGCAATAGTACAATCAAAGACTGCTTTCCTCCTTGTTGACAGAAAACGCTAATGTTGAACTTGGTACCTGCACATAAACAGTCCACCAGCTTCACTGAAATGGTCTTAATCGAGTGATTCAGGGAACATTTGGAGTTGGTGGGGCATAACAGAACTTGAACCGCTTTGGGCTCCATTTGTGTCCTCCATTGAATACTGTTGATGCCAATGCCAGTCCCTGTCAAGGATCATCTGTCTAGCAAGAATGGCTGCTCGATGCTCTGCGATGAGTTCGTGTAATGCAGCACTGCATCTTGAGGAGAGATCGGCTGATGGGATCCAAGAATTGTTGTTCTTCGATGATGACAGAAGAGAGAGAGCACGGCCTGTTGGTGTTGATAAGTATGATTGATATCTATCAGCCATTAGTTGAGTGTCTGTTGAGGAAAGAAATGCAGATTTAGTTCTTTGCAGTTGTTTTTCAAATTTCAGGTAAAACTGTTGAGATTGATACAATTCACAATGGTTATTTAGCAAAGTCAGAAACAGGTGAATCCTACATTTGATCTTATAACAGACATGTCCCTTCTCCTAGCCTGTCCTACCTGGTGCTAGTAAACGAGTTTGAGCCAAAGTCTGATGAGCTTGTTTTTCAAAACAACCCCAAAAAATGGTAACGTTCAGCTCCTTTTCTAAACGAACGAGCTCGAACTTAGTCGAATCCGAGTAATTTGATTATTTTACATTTAAACGAGCCAAATTTATAGGGCCTATTTTCTCAAAAATTGTCTGAACTTGACTCATTTTTTAAATAACCAAGCTTGACTCATGCTCAAAACGAGCTGAGCTCGACTATTTTACATATAAGCGAGTAAAATGTTGCTAGTTTGAGCCAAGTTTATAGGTGTTTTCTAAAAACCAATGGGCCTTTGATCCAATGGTACTCTTTACCTTATCAAAGCTTTGCCTTCTTAAGGTCAAGAGTTCAAATGCCCACTCCCACTCCCAAAAAAAAAAATAGGTGTTTTTTAAAAAATTGTTTAAGTTTAAAACGAGTCAAGTCCGAGTAGCTCGAATCGTTTACCACCCCTAGTCATAACCAACCTCTTCCCTCTCTCCCTCTCCCCCCCAATAAAAATGTTATATTAAAGGAATTCAAAACAAAAAAATGCTACTAAGAAACAATAAAATTAACAAAACTTCTTGTCGTACAACTCAACTCAACTCAACTCAACTCGTATAAAAGAATAAAGGTTATGTTAAGTAGTTGACAGCCTGCGAAAAACTTGTTAGACTAAACAAAAAACTTCTCCAAACTAAAACTAAGTGTCTTATTTCACTAATTCAAAATTTCTCATATGTATCCATTTAGTGATGTGCACTAAAACCATTCAGAAACCAACATGCAACAGAACATCAAATATAAGGACCTTTTGTCTTGGTGTTAACCTTCAACGGATCCTTCTAAGGTTGCAAAGATGAGCTGCATCGGTTGATACTCTAATTCCAACGTATGTATGGGTATATGTGAAGAGATATCAATACAAGTATTATAGACACATTCAATCTTGCCATATATGTTGTACGAAGCTTGACATTACCTCTTCTTAGCATTCTTGTATTTGTGTGGGACTAGTTCAGAGTGATAATATTATATAGATATTTTTAATTTCAGATAATGAAAGAAATATCCGAATATTTTAGTGTAACTAGTTGACCCCCCAAAAAACAAAAAAGTCTAACTAGAGGGAATGTCACTATAAGTTATTATCGCCTCCTTATTTCTCTCTTGTTTATTTAGTTCTACTTTGGGTAGAGATTCATATTAAAATAGAAAAAGAGAAAGTACCTTGAGAAGAGTTTGTAGGTCTATAATGATCATGGGAGCTCTTTCTTCTTCTCTCATTGTGTCCTGCTAATCTCCTCCTGCAACTCCTCTTTGCATCATCAAACTCTGACACTGCATGAAACCTACACCCACCCCCAACCAAAAAAAAATTATGATTATATACACATTCATATATAAATACATACACATCTAGATATCAATGCTTATATGCAATCACATACAATATGTTGGAATTGCTATACAATGTTATGCTCGTTAGACAATAGCACTGATACTAAAAATTGTTAGAATTGCTATAATGTTATTCTTGTTAGTTAGAAAATAACCCTGATACCAATTTATTGGAGTTGAGAGAATTAAACATACAATAGAAGAAAGTAGTTGAGAATATTGAACACTCAAACTAAAGAAAATGAATTTCATTCAAGTAGATTACAATCAACCTCAAAATAATAGACTCTTCTCGCAACTCAACTCAACTTACCACTAACAAACCAAAGCAAGACTTATGCCCCAATCATTTGGAGTTGGCTAAATTACTGCTAACAATACACTTTATATCCGATTTATAAAAGTCTCAAAAACAACTCACAATATTGCATTAACATGCCACTATCTTAAGACGCACTTTTTTCACTACTTAGAGAATTCGCTCACTCTCACTCACTACATGGTATATTAATACACCACTAACCCACCAAGACACCTGAATTTCCAATACAAATACATTAACATAAATGTGCCTGTCAATTTTCTACAAATATGGCTAAAATACACATGCATGATCGATTAACACGTGCGAGACATGAGTTAGGTTAGAGTCAAATTCGAACAAACCAATTTCTTATTATTTTTTTTTTACTCATTGGTATATGAATTTACGTTTAATTTTGTTAGAATTGTGATAGATCTGATTGAAGGAAAAGCATTTTACGTGGAACAAACTTAAAATAACACAAGACGAACGCCATACACTCGATTAACACCTAATTATGCAATAATAATCCCACAAAGAAGCAATTAACAAATTCAAAAAAATTCCATAGCAGACAATAAAATGTCCAAGAGTTTAAAGCTGGAGAGAGAGGAGAAACCTGCTACATTGTTGACAGAATCGTTGGTCAACCCCAAGAACCACGACCTTCACAGCCTTTGAATGAATTTCGCACACCTTATGCCTCCTGTGATAGTCCTTCGCATTAACCAGCGCCACGTGGCACCCCTCCACCTGACACCGTGGCACCGGCGGACGAGGAGGAGCCGTCGTCACCATCTCCGCCGCGGACGCACCACCACCGTTATCGCAATAGGGTTTGAATCTCTTGGTTATGGAGACCTTTGCTTCTTGTCGCTCACCCATTGGACGGGTGGGGTCCTCGAAGTAATGCCTCTTGCCGAGTTTCAAGCATGTTAGGTGTGGGTCCGGAGGGTGGTAATTGGTCCCTCCGGCGTATAGAAAAGAAGAAGAATGGTGGGCATTGTTCCCTTGGTGGGAGAACATAAGCGCGTGTACCGCACTTTCATCTGGGTGGGTTGTGGAACTGGTGGGGACAGGTGGCACCGCCGCGGTGGTGGTGTCATGATTGAACGAGTGTTGGCTATTATTATTCCAATCAAACCGTGAAGTATTGCCAAGCTCCCATATATCCCATGTAAGGTTAGTAGAATTACCATTCTGCCCTCTGCCACCACCGGTGCTGCTGTTGAGTAAGTTCCAACCATTGTCCATTGAACACAACACACACACACACACACACACACTCCTCTTTCTCTCTGGGTGCTGGTGCTTGCAGATACTAATTGGAGCTTGGTGGGTATGTTTACAGAATAAGGCAACAATACTGCATATGAGGAAAAGAAGTAGTTGTTGTCCTTATAAAAGAAGGAAAGATATTGAGAAAGTGGAGAGAGAATGGGGGAAATGGTCAGAGAGCTCAGAGCAGAAATGGTATGGTTCAACTGTGTTCTATTCCAATAGGGCTAGGTGCTTAAAGAGAAAAGCTATATGGAGAGAGAGAGAGAGAGAGAGAGTGGGGGGTATAGATGATAGACCTTAGACAAAAATAGCACGTGCGATGTTGGGAAAGGCTCGTGAGAGAAGAAAGGGTGGGTCCAAGGATTGCGTTTTCAAGCGATCTGAATAGAACAGTCGGCTAAAGACAATAATTGAGAGAGAGGGACTGGTTGGGTTGGGAAGGGGGGTTGGTATAAAACTGAATGAGAACAGTAACTAGTTAGGTCTAGACGGACTAGTACTATTCAGGTCTAGTGGGAGGAGAGAATATTCAATACAACTAATAATAAAATTTTAAATGATGAGAGTGAACCCGCTTGATTAGTTATTAATTTACATAAAAAAAAAAGTATAGTTATGAACATATAGATATTAATTTGTGTAGGGTCCACTTTCTTATTTGTCTACGTATTAGTGATTATTGATACCATGTGACAATACTGACGTAATATTATCGTTATAATAAATATAATTTCCTAGTTTGAGACATTAGTTTTTAGAGTAATACTATTTGGACTTAAAAAATTGATCTAATTTACTGACATAATGATGTGACTTCAACAAGATTATTGGATCGACATCAAGTTCTAATATTTGATGGGCTCCACAGTCAATTCAAAAGTTATAGTGAATTAGGTCAACAAATAATGTCAATAAAATTAGATCCCAATACCATTGTTGTAGTTTTTAATATTAATATTAATATTAATGTTATGACTAATGGTTATACCATGTCATCATATTCATGTGGTGCCAATATTTAATTAAAAATAATAAATTAGCTAATTAATTCCATCAAATTCAATATTCACTCTTTTCATTTAATTCAATAATTATTCCATGCAAAATAATGTGATTCACCTTTAAATGATGACATCATGAAATGATAATGATGTCATCTCACCAATATTTCCTCATTATGTAAGTTTAATTATATTAACTTTACTCTTTAAATGTGAATTATACTATGATGATTGTTGGGTTGGTGGTCTAAGTGATTTATAGTGCTCAATTTAGAATACTCTCTCACTCCCATAAAATTAATAAACAGAGTTCAATTTTTGGGGATTTTCACTGACAACCCTATGGTGCGAGGCTTAGACTATGGCTCGAGTCGACTACTGACATCTTGCAATTTAATAGACTTTCCTCGTGGTTTCGGGTTGCTATAGTAATGCCCAAACTTAGGTTTCACTCGATTTGATCTCTCAAACCCTTTTTCTAGTTTTAAAAAAAAAATTATACCAAGATGGAGGAAAAATATTTTGTATATGGGGCCTACATAAGCAGTTCGTTAATGAAGCAAATTCCCAATCCAATCGAAAGTATACATTCTTAATTTGTTAATTCCTGAGATTCTTATTTCTTGACAACTTATCATTGTAAGTCTTGCATTTTCTAAAAAATAAAATTGCTTTCAGAAAATGATTAAGTACAACTATTAATTTGTTAAATCTTGAGATTCTTTTTTCGGTTATCTTGATAACTTATCATTGCACTAGTTATTGTATGTGCCTGAAGGTACAAAATAATAAAAAATAATAAATAATAAACATATTTGTATTCATATCCAAAATTAAATCACAAACATAGAGTAAAGATAAATGAATTTAAGTATCGATTGTAGTGAGGATGAAAGGTGGTGGGCGATAGTGGTGGTGGTAAGAGACGGTGATGGTTGTGATGAGTGACAATGACCGTGGTAGCAGTGGTGGTGGCAGTAACAGCTGTGGCAGGGTGGCGGTGATGACAGTGATGGTGGTGGTAGTGGTGACGGTGACGGCAACGGTGACGACGGTGATGGTGGCAGCGGTAGTGGCAACGACAATGGTGGTGGTAGAGGTAGTGGTGAGACAGTTTCAAACACTATTATTTTTTTAAAAGTATTTCTGAGAAATAATTTATAGAAATACTTTTAAAAAGTCACTCCAAACATACCTTTAGGGTCTATTTTTTCAATTAAATTTTGGGTGTTAATATTAACCGTTAGATTAATTTTAAAGTAAAATTTAAAACGATTTAAACCGCGAAAAGCAAAAATCATTTTATTTATCTTTTGAGATTTAAATTGTAAGCCACTTTATTATATAGATGTCTTGCATTTTTTAAAAAATAAATTTGCTTTTAGAAAATGATTAATAGTTCGTTTGACTTATGTTTTTAATGATGAATCACTTTACAGGCATCGATTTGAACAGTATAATTCAAAAACGAAATGCATAAAATTACACATAAATTATATGCATCGATTAAACGTGTATTTTATAACGAATGAGACTCAAAAAGATAGACAATTAGTAAACCATGATATAATACTTTTTTGGTAAGCTTGATAGTTGATGGGACACTTCTAGGAATTGGACATGTGTCCTCGACACCGATGACACCTCAAGTAACTCCATTTGATGATACATGTCTTTGGCACCGAGGACAAATCAAGTAATTCCATTTGATGACATGTGTTTTCGGCACCAAAGACACTTTCAGGTTCTTAGATCCCTGGGACTCTGACACGTGTCTCTCTACGTAATTAGACCCCTGAAGACTTTTTCTGCTGCAAAATCTCGGTCCCCGAGATGAGTTACTGACGGTTACAATTCATCAATCTCAGAGTTTAACAGTGAATCATTAAAATCTCTAATGGTTTGACCGTAAAAAATTATTAGAATTTAAACTCAAAATATTTGAATTTATAATTTATCTCTGTTATAACTTGATATACTTTTGAAGTTTCCTCAACTAAATTTGATTGTCCATATAACTATAACATTCAATGGGAGAATATATATATACTAGTCATAACCCGTACCTGAAGACACGATAAAATATAAAATTTGAGCGTTCAAAAAATCGATCTCATTATATTATTTTTTTTCTAAAATATATTAACTACAAATTAATTAAATATAAAATGATTAAATATATGATAGAAATGAGTGATGTGATATTTTTAGGAAAAAAATATATAAATGATTAAACATATGATAAAAATATATGACAGAAATGAGTGATGTGATATTTTTAGGGAAGAAATATATAAATGATTAAACATATGATAGAAATAAGTGATGCGATTTAACATTTGAGTTTGACAAAAGAATGATAGGTGAGGTAAGTGATTGATAATAATTTTAAAAGAGAAAATATAACTGGAATAAAATTTAAATACATTTCTATTTTATTATGTACAAAGGACGCCAATAATGGAATTATGGTACAGTGCAACATCACAAGGAATGTATTTTATTATATACAAAGGACACCAATAATGGAATTATGGTATGTTCCACAACAGTGCAACACCACAAGGAATGTATTGTTGAAATGAAACCACGCATTTGAAGGTAGATGGGTGGTGCAGTTATGGTTCCTGTGGGGGCTCAGTGGAATATGCACGTGTCACTTTGAAAAGACTATTTTGTCCTTATTCAATCAATTCAACACAACAAAAACTGTAAAAGGGGGCTCACAGAGTTTTTAGACCCAGGTATGGCCATACACTTGTCACTGGATTGGGTCCCACTTGAAGATCTTCCCCATTGCAACAAAGATTGACCAGATTGGCCGATTGTGACCATCGTGTCTTTTGCATTCTTTTTTTGAAATGCTTCTAAAATTTTTAAATATTAAAAAATTAACAATATTTAATGTCTTGGTTTTTATTTTGCAATGATTACATCGAAACCCCTATTGTTTACATTAATTTCATGAAGTGCACCTGTAATTTTTGAAATTATAGTGAAATGCTCTTCAAGTTAGTCTATCAGAATAAAAATCCAGTCAATCATGGATATGAACATAGAGAAGGTGTTGGTTTTGCAGTTTACGACAAGGGTACACTTTTAAAGGATCATCTCTTATACCTCTTTCCTCCCTTATTGAACTTGATTCTCCTAGTTCAATGACTCTCTCTCTCTCACACATGCACATACGCCATGGGATTTGCGATGTATGGAGGTGGACACAACCAATGGAAGGGAAGTTACAAACAAAAGGGATCTACCAAGGGAGAGTGTTGTTGAGTAGGAGAGAAATACATTAGGGTTGGATTGACTAATCAGTTTGAGCTTGATTTTCTCTAGTTTAGATGATATTGACCAGAAATTACCAGTTTTTATCTATCAGGGGGAAAATTTATTTCCCAACTAATATCCAAATTGGGTTGGTATTTCATTTTCTAAATAATAGGGGGCACCATTTTGATTTGTCGTAAATCATTGAGGAACAATTGTAAATAAGTGGAGCATGGGAGTTGTCTCATTCTTTCTGATGAAAAAAGTGGGACAATACGAACTGTAACAGACGGGACTGTAAATATATATTTTTTTTTGACACACACTTAACACTACCTCTTACCAAGAGGAGACTCTAAATATTTAAAAAAATGACCTGCTGCCATCCAATTACTTTGCCTTTTGTATATTTGTAAATTCCCCACAATATTTGATACTAATCAAATTTTCATCTAATTTTATTTAAAAATATAAAATTTATTATAAATTAATTTTTGTTGCTCAAAAATATCATTTTTTACACGATTTTCAATATTAAACAACTCAATTAGCACACTCCAAAATTTCAAACAACTCCATTAATACATACTTCTGTTATATTCTCTCTCTCCCTTGCCTATCTCTTATTTTATTTGTTTACTTTAATTTTAAATTACATAATTAAAAAAAATAAAATAAAAAATAATTTATTGTTTTAAAATATGAATATTATGTGATTAATGCTCAAATTTTAATAATACATATTATTTTCAGATACGAAAATATTATTAGTGTGTGAGTGGAGTGGGTGGGGTTGGCGGGGGCGGGGGGTATTCCTTAGATCAAGGAATGGTGTGGATAGGAATAGGAATCCAGTCATCCACCATTTGGTGTGCATATTTATTGTACCATGTGGTATCCCAAGCTGTGGGATCCATGAAGGTGCTGGAACATTCAA